GGCCCGTCGAGGTGTTCCTGTGTTCTGGGCTGGCCCGTCGAGGTGTTCCTGTGTTCTGGGCTGGCCCGTCGAGGTGTTCCTGTGTTCCTCCCGTGTCTGTGAAGGCTTTTATGAAAGGTGTGGAGAAGACTCTTTTTTCCCCTTTTAATCCCCTCAAAAACCCCCAAAACCAAACCTCCAAAATACTTTTTTTTTTTTTTTCATTTAAATAAAGCTTCTTCCTTTTATTTTTTGGTTTTTTGTTTGTTTTTGTAATGTGTAATGCCTTGTTTTGGGGAGGAAAACCTAGCTTTGGTAGTCCTTTGGGTGACAGGAGAATACAGCCCGTGCTCTGTAGCATGAAGCGGAAGAGGTTGCACTTGGCTCGTTACGCTTGTGTAGCCTCTCAGACGTGCACGTGTGGTGGAGATAAAAATGACAACAAGGATGGAAAAAACAGCTTCTGGTCTTGGCTTTCACTGGATCAACTCTCCTGGAAGAAGACAGGCTTTGTGTTTGCTGTATCGACCGGCAGAACCCATCAAAGTTTTGGTTATGTCCCAGTTGAAGTGCAAGCGTTTTTTTCTTTGCCTTTTTGTTGGAAATTTGAAGTAATCTGTCTTTTCTGGCCAAAGCAGATGTGTTCGATAGAACATGCAAGAAAATAAAGAAATGGGGATGGAGAACATCCACAGAGCAGCATTGCAGAAGCTTTGGGCATGAGCCCTGTGCCCAGGATTTGGCTGGAGCTCATGGGAGAAGCGTTTGTGCCCAGCGGTGATCGGAGGGTGTGTTCTCTGCAGATGAAGGCAAGGAAGAGGCTGGAATCCAAAGGCAAATCCCTACCACCTGTGGTTTGGGTCGCAGCAATGGCACCACTTGTTCCCTCCAGGCTGGTTACCACAGTGCATAGTCCAGTGTCCGCAGAGTTGCTAACCTCATCGTCCCAAAAGTAAACAGTGTATTGAGGTGACTGTCAACCGTATATGGGTCCTTGGATTTCACCTCTTTGTCATGCTGCTGATCGTTAACATTGGCAAGAGCCTTGCTTCCTTATCGTTGTTATTTTATCTTAAATATTTGATGTGTTTTCCTGTGTCTTATCTTTTGCCAAGTTTTATAAGCTTTTTATCTGTAGGAGGATGATTGGAATTTTTTGTTGTGGCTTTGGCATAGTGCTACATGTTCTGTGAAAGAAATATTTTATTCAAGCGTATTTGCTGTTTACTGAATGCTAGTTTTTTGTGGAGAAGGTCAAGTGGCTCCAAATGTTTAAAACAAACAAGCAAAAAAAAAAAAAAAGCAATTTGTACACAATTTGCTATCAAATAAGGCGGAAGAGCATTGCAATAGGCTTCATGGGAATCTTGCCAGGATCACATGCTCATTAAAACAAATATAACCAATGCTGGGTTTAAAGTTAGGCTATGTGCATGCTCTTTGTGTTTTGGTAGTATATTGTCTGAAGACAGATGCTGATATAAAGCTAAAAGCTTTTGGTTTCCATGCCCAAAGATGCACTTGTAGTTGGCTTGTCACATAGAACACAGTAGTTACAGCATTTCTGTTTTATTTTAAATTTCATTGATGCTGTGCACAATTAGTTTTGTTATATTCCTCTTGGGAGCTGTGCATCATCACAGGTTATAAGAATTGAGGAACTTGTCTAATATCCAGCAGACTTCTGAAACACAAAATCACGAGGTACTGTTGATTTCTGCTTCATTGGTTCCCTTGGTGTATAAGGGGCAGTTTTCCTCAACGCTAATTAAATGTGCTGGACTAAATTAATAGGGCCAGCCTGGGAAGTAGACACCCTAAGCAATTACCAAAGACACTGAAATTGAGTAAAATTTTTTGGAGATGTTTTGATTTAAAAGCTCTCAGGTAGGAGCGGGGTCTGATGTGACATGATTGTTCCAGGGAAAGCTGATGCCCTAAAAGTGGTTACCACAAAATTTACATCGGGAAGGGGGCCGGGTCAGACCTAAACATTGGTGCTGTGTATGATAAATGTGCTGTAGATTTTATTGTCTCATCATTAGCTTCAGTTGTATATTTGCTAAAACCTGAAATTCCTTAGAAATACAGTTGATGTAGTACATATTGTGGAAGTAAATAGCAGCTTTCACAGGTAGTTTAAAAATTTCTAAACCCATCTTAATACAGAATAAAAGGAATTTAGGAATGAGCATAAGGCTTTTTTTTGTCTCTTTCAGTATTACCAAGTCTCTACTTCCCTGTAATAATTAATTTCTCCTTGAATACGTTTAAACCTGCATATGTAGAAACTCATAAATGCAACAGATAGTTTTAAGGCAAGTTTTTAAAAAAGTAAATTAATCTGCCTTCGGGTTTTCCAGAAAGTATTTTTCCAGTGTGCCCCTAACTGTACCGGCCCTCCAACTGCATCTCTACTTACGACATTTCTTTTCCTGATAGAAGCTTTTTTTCCTGTTCTGCCATGCTTCACTGGTTTGTAGACTTTTTATACAAAGCAATTAATCCCAAGTCAGCTCTGCCTGGAGGATCTTCTGCCAGGTACAGTTTTTCTAAGAAAAGAATGAACATACCTGAAAAGCTGAGCAGCATTATTTTGTACATTCAGAAATTCAGCTCTGTTGAGTGTTTTTTGTGACTATGACAATAGGGAATTTGTATTCTTGAAACTGATTTTAACAATTTTTTGGTCTTCAAATGTATGATCTATGTTCATCGAAGTTGTGAGATGTTATTTCTTGAATTTCTATTTTTTTACAAAGAATATAAGTTTCATTTCTGAAGAAGTAAAAGTCCACTTTTCTGTAAAAAAAAAAAAAAAAAGGACAGGAATTGGGTTTGGTTTTCTAGAAGAGAAGAGCAAAATAAGTCTAGCTAGATGACTTTTATCCTAGACATCCATTGTAATTTTTTGCATATGACTGCATACTTTCCTTAATGTTATTGTATTTTTAAAGTTATCATTGAAATGGCCTGTTTTGAGAGTAACTGTGATGCACAAAGAGGTTTGTCAGGCTTAAGAGGTGAACGATAGACACATTTAAAAAGAGAGTGAGGGAAAGAAAGGTAAATGTGAACATTAGTCAAAAGAAAGGAAAATGCCTCAAAGTTCCTGTGCAGTTTTATTCAGGTAGATTACTAGAATAACCATGTCTGTTCCATTTTTACAGCGTCATGGTAGAAATTATGTCTAACTGCTAGACAAATTGCAGGCTCCATATAGAATAATATGTGGAGATTTCAAATATTGTATTTCCTTTAGATTTGAGGAGTTTCCTACAGCTTCTGCATAGTTTCCTCTCTCATGGTATATCTTGCCCTTTCTTTTACAGTATGTCATCAAAAAGTTAAACCTTAAAAATGCTTCCAACCGAGAGAGGAAAGCAGCAGAACAAGAGGCACAGTTGTTATCCCAGTTGAAACACCCGAATATAGTCACCTACCGAGAGTCCTGGCAGGGGGAAGATGGTCTGTTATACATTGTTATGGGCTTCTGCGAGGGAGGAGATCTGTATCACAGACTGAAGGAGCAGAAGGGCAAACTCTTGCCTGAGAATCAGGTGGTGGAGTGGTTTGTCCAGATTGCCATGGCGCTACAGGTAAAATAAAGTAAAATAACTTTGTCACCTTCAGGTATAAATGTAATTTGGCTCTTTCTGCATTTAAAAATCCCACAGGGAGGCTGCAGACTCTGAATTCCAGTTTGGCTGGGTTAGCATCTAAATACAACAGTTATTAGTATGTTAAAAATGTTCACAGGTCATTCCAGTCAAATTACCTATTTTAGGTAAGAAATTGCTGTAATATAATGTCTACACCTCTGTATCACAGTAGACAGTGGTAACCTCCAGGGTGTTTGCAATTCTAGTCTGAAATGCTTCTCTGATTTGAAAGTTTAGATTACATTTACAAAATGTAGTTTAAAAAAACCCAAACAGATTATTTCAGAGGCATTTTGTGTTCTGTGGTCTTGCTGGTGCTTTTTAATGGTAAATTTAGACTACTAATTCATCATTTCTGTTAAATCTTATCTCACTCTGAAATTTAGTAATTGGAGATTGTAAAACTTTAAAGAAAACTCACAGTAATCAAGAGCAGATATAAATGTTAACACTAAGAAATAAGAAATTGGACAGAAAATTCCCCCTTGCCTGTTGTGATGGGACATACACAAGTCTATAGTGCTGCTTGTTCTTGTTTATTGTAAGACTAATTTTCTACCCTGTTTACACAAAGCTCACATTGTATTTTCCACTGAAAATTTATAAAGACTAAGAAGTGATTGTCAAGAAATGGAGGCAGCAGAAAGTGAGTTAAAGTCTGAGTCTTAACTTTTACATTTTTATTTGCTCTTTTCTGATGGCCTATTGGAGCCACGCAGGGAGATTTTGCTAAAGCAGCGACAAGTTTGGGGTCTGTGCCTGTATCAGTCATTCTTAATGTTAATTCACTAATACTGTCTTTGGCAGGGGTGCTCCTGACTTTGATAGTGATGTGTGTGTCTTTTCTGTGTTTATACTTTACTTTTTGATTTGTGTTATGTGATTTTACTTTTCAGTGTAGAAGAACCAATTAGGATTTACTTAACTCTATTTATATGTTTTTTCCTCCAGTATTTACATGAAAAGCACATTCTGCACAGAGATCTTAAAACTCAAAATGTTTTTCTGACACGAACAAATATAATCAAAGTGGGTGACCTGGGAATAGCCAGAGTGTTGGAAAACCAATATGACATGGCCAGCACTCTCATAGGCACGCCGTATTACATGAGCCCTGAACTCTTTTCTAACAAACCCTACAACTACAAGGTAGAGTATGTTAATGCAAATATCATTTTTACTTGATTTGACAACTTCCTTTGTTTGTGAACATGACAATCTTATCTACTGCTTTTAATTTCTTATTTCTTCTAACTCTTTTTAATGACCCCAAAGACCAAACCAAAAAGTAGGGAAGAGATTTGCAAAGAACTTCATTTCTGAAGCTGTGTTTGCTGCAGTAGGAGGGAATTCATAGTGTGTGGTGAGTTATCACAGCCAAGGTGCTCAGCAGGCTGCCTGTGCCTATCACAGCATGCCAATGTAAACAAAAATATCAGTCTTTGTTAGATAGATGCATTTTCTAAACTTATTCTGTAGCAGGCAGGAAGCTTTATACACAAAATGTTAGATGTAACAACAGCATTAAAAAAAAAAATTAAGTAGAGAAATAAGCAGTGCTGCTGTGAATTTAAAATATAAAAAAATAAAGCAGACATGCTCTTGTATATCTGTTCAGCTCTTGCTGCAAACCACGTGCACCATAAATACCAGTGTCTACAGTGAGCAAGGGCTGAGGGGAAACTGTTCTTCCAATGAAAAATCAGAAGATTTTCATTGACCAGTTAGAACCCATGCTGTACTTAAAAATAAAATTAAAAAACCCCTACAAACAGCAACTTTCCACACTTTTCAGAAAAATCCGATGATATGTGGAAGAAAATAATTTGGTTGCTCAAAATTAAAAATAGAAGAGTGGGACTGAATCCAAAGTTTGCAACTTAATTAGTTTAATATTATTAAAGGCCTCTTTGAAAGCAGGTGACTGGGTCTGGAGATAAAACTTCTACAATTAATAAAAAGTTCCCAAACCTTTTTTTTTTCCCCCTTTTTTTCAGTCTGATGTTTGGGCATTAGGCTGCTGCGTTTACGAAATGGCCACGCTGAAACATGCCTTTAATGCTAAAGACATGAACTCTTTGGTGTATCGAATTATTGAAGGAAAGGTAAATGTTTTTTTAATCTGTGCTTGTTTTTTATGTCTAGAACTTTTCCAATCATAAATATTGTACGGAGTTAAAAATACTTTGCATGTTACAGGCATCGTCACATATGTTGCAAGCCTGGTACTTCATGGTGGGATATGATGTAATATCAGACCCAGGGAGTTAGTCATTTGTAGGCATTGCTGGAGTTTCTTGTTACCATTTTGTGTAACTAGTATATTGATTAATTAAGTTGTGAGATTACTTACTTTCTTAAATTGCTTCTGGTTTAAATGCTGCGCAAAAAATTAAATCGCTATTCATGCGATGCCATTTTCCTGTAGATAAAACTCGCTTATTTAAATGTTTGTCTTGCTTTGGCATATAATGAAGTTAATACGGATTTACTTTACATAAATTTTTAAGCCTATTCACAGAACTTTCACAGCTGATACAAATAAAAAAAATTATGAGCTGTTCTTAGACGAAACACCTAGAATTTCTATATTCTATTTGATGTAAAGCGCTTGAGTAACTTTGAGGATATGAACAATGGGACCATTTTTTATGCAAAGTACATAGCTGAATTTAACTGTCATGCATAAATAATCTAACAGTAGCCCCTACTGACAAATATGTTAAGTAATATCAGACTCCCCTTTCCCTTAACAGTTGCCACCCATGCCAAAGGATTACAGCTCGCAGCTGGTAGAAATAATACGAACTATGCTCAGTAAAAAACCTGAGGAGAGACCTAGTGTAAAGAGAATACTGCGACAGCCGTATATCAAGCACCAAATTTCTTTGTTTTTGGAAGCCACAAAGGCGTAAGATATTTTCATTTGAGTGATTCTGTTCAAAATATTCATGTTACTGAGGTCTTTGTTTTACAACTTCTCCTATTTTTTGTAGCAGGATAAAATTAGTTCTGTTACGTGCAGTTACAAAGTGTATGAACATGAGAGTTTCTTTAGATTCTTTGAGAAATATGAGGGAATTAGCATGGAAACTAGGGTTTTTTTTGGTTTTTTTTGCAAATGCAGAATAAAACTATGCAATGGTTTAGAGTTAAAAAAAAGCGTCAGTATTTTAAAGGAAGTGATAGGAAATATACATTTTCCCATATGGTTCTTTGAGGCCATTTGTCAGCTGAGAGTTGTAATACCAAGTTCCTTTAGATATTCAGTGATATAATTATTTTTCTTTGTCAGGTTTAGTCAATTATTTTACTGCTTCCAGATCAGTCTGATCTTGGTGCTGTTCAGAACAAATGTGCTGTAGATTGTTGGCAGAGTCTGAATGGTGTTTTTAAGCTCCTTTTATAGAGGTGAAAATGAGCATGTTGTGTGTCTGTTGAAAAAGCCCAGTATCTTATGCTCTCTGTATGTAAGCTGTTTAGTGGAGTTGATTTTTTGAATTAGTATTATCTAAATAAATATCTTAAGGTCTTGTTGATGGTGATTGAATGAGCAGTTTTTATTTTCTTTACAGGAAAGCAGCAAGAAGTCAAAAGAAAACAGTGAATTCTAAACCTAAAGATTCATGTTCTATGGTCTCAGTAAAGAATGAATCTCATAGCAGGAACGTTGCACACCAAACCCCCTCCTTTGAGCAAGCCAGGAAATACAAAGTTGTGAGAGATATTTTTTTTTCTTTTTAAAAGAAGAGAAAACCCACTTGCTTTTTCTGGAGAAAAAACCTCAGTGTTTTAAGTGCCTTGAGCATTCATGAGAACATAGGTCTGATTCTTAGCAATGTCTAAATTTCATATTAAGGAAGGAATTGTGTTTTTTCATTTGTGGGTCACTGTGAATTACTCATGAAGTATTTGAGGTCAAATATGTTTTTCAAATATTTGATGACAAGTGGTAGTAATTTTTAAATACATGTTTTTGACTGGAAAAAACCTGATTATAGTTACAAGCAAAAATTATTTATTGCTGGAATTCTTTCCAGTGGTTAGAACAAATCTTTTGTAATGGTTTATCTTGTGCATGTAATGAGTCTGCTATTCTGGGTTTCAGCTTTCAGTGCTGAAATACTGAATGTATATAGTGTACTACATCTTAAAAACTGCTGATGCTTGTTGGCTCCTCCCTTATGGAAGAGCCAAAGGAGAACAACTTTTCTTGCATGGTCCTGGTGAAAAGTAGGTGTACTGCATGTGTGTAAGGCAGTGCCTGAAATAGGTTATTTGCAAATACAGTCTGTATTTCTTTAAAAATGTGGGTTATGGCTTTTTTGAGGCTCTTAGTCTGTAATTGATCATAGTTTCATTGCAGTTTATGTCCTCTGGTATGTTAGTTGTTTTCCTTAGGTGCTTAGAGTATTCTTTGATATGTGCATAATACCCAAAAGGTAATTATTTTTTTTTGTTTTCCTTTTAATTCTAGAATGAAGGAGATTGCATCATCAAATATAAAGACACCAAATTTTGTCCCTCTGAGAAACCAGCTGTTCAACTGGAAAGAAAACCAAGCAATAATGATTTGAACAACCTAGGAGACTCCTTAGCCACAGTTAGTGAAGTGAATATTGATATCTTTCCATCTGAAAAGATGAATTATGGAAGTGAGAAGTGTGTCAGTGAGCATATTCCAGAGAATAATAAAGCAAAGTATGTAAATGTCCCAGGGAATTCTAAAATAACATCCGTTAGCCCACCAGTTAAGGAGGATGAACTACAGCAAAGGACAAAGCAGACTTTTAAAGCTGAAAATGTTGAGTCTGAGCAGTCTCCTGCTGATGCTGTAGAAGAAGATGGTGACACTTTGAAACTCCTGCAGCCTACATCAAAAGATGAAAAGCAAACTAACCTGGTAATGCATTTATGCTTACTTGAAACAGATTTAACTAATGGCTAGCTCTTAAAATTTAGAGAGCTGCTGCACATGTTTTTCTGTCAAAGTAGGATGCTGCTGATGCAATTATTGAGATGCTTAAGTAGTTAGGAGCCTTAGCTTCAGATTTGCAAAGGCAACATGGTGAAGTAGTTTTAGGCTGGCATCTAGATGATGGAAATTCTGTTTTTACAGGGAACAACAATTTTATTTTCCAGCTGAGAAGAGGGATCGTAAGAATAGTTTTGTAATTTCTTTTTTCTGTGTTCCAAATAGTCCTGGCTGATCTCGAGTTGGTCCTGATTTGGATAGGGAGCTAATAGGTGGTGATTGTCTTTTCATTGCATTTTGGTCTACAATGAGATTTTCGTACATACTTTTCTGATGAGAAAACATTATCTATTGTAGAGCTTGGATTCTACTGGAAAGCTGCTAGCACCACTTGTTCCTGTTGTAACTCAAGTAAGTGTCCTTCTTTGAAGGTTTAGTAGCTTAAAAATGCTGGTACAGCAGGTATTTTGTGGTTTGGTGTGGTTGTAACTGTGCTATGTTAAGGTGGATGCAGTCCAAGTAGTAAAGTTTGTATGTGTAAGTCTGGAAATGGCATGTCTACATTTTTAAAAAATGCTTTTACTGGTTAGGATGACGCCTGTCATGGAGCTTCAGGAGATGCTCAGGAAAAAATTACCTCCCACCTGGAGCCTCACAGTTCTGTCAGTGCACCTTCTCTTTCACGGCAGCGACGGCAGAAGAAAAGAGAGCTACCTGAAGTCTGTTCAGAGAAGGTGCAGATACTAAAAAAACAATTTTCCTTTTTCCTTTAAGACTCCTGCATTTTTTACTCTTTAAAAATGGGACCTATTTTTTAAAAAAGGGTGGGTTTTTTAATACTGTTCTTGTTTCTTGTGTATCTCTGTAACTGCATTGGTAACAAAGTGCAATAGCAAAATCCCAGTAACCCTCACAGGTGTGGGGTGAGTGTGCCAGCTGGGCAGAAGGAAACAGAGTGAAGTGTGGGCTTTACCTTTGTTGTGCTACAGTCTTTCCTAGCAGTTTCCATCAGGATTTCTTACTGTTTGTGACAACAAAATATCTAGCAGTACTTTTCCTGACTGTTGTGGATAAGGCTACTTGTAGTGTCCAGTAGATTACTGGTACTTTAGAACAGACATGTGTAATGTCTGCCCTGAGATTATGAGTGCAAACTCTAGGAAGAAATCTCTCTTCCAGGAACACTGAGCAGAGAGGTTTCTTTGGGGAAAGGCACTGGCTATACAGAATCACAGAATGGTGGAGTTGGAAGGGACCTCTGGAGATCATCTAGTCCAACCCCCTGCCAAAGCAGGGTCACCTGGAGCAAGTTGCACAGGATGGCACCCAGGCGGGTTTTGAACATCTCCAGAGAAGGAAACTCCACAACCTCTCTGGGCAGCCTGTCCCAGGGCTCTGTCACCCTCACAGTAAAGTTTTGCCTCGTGTTTAAGTGGAACCTCCTGTGTTCCAGCTTGTGTCCGTTGCTCCTTGTCCTGTTGCTGGCCACCACTGAAAAGAGTCTGGTCCCATCCTCTCAACACCCATCCTTTAGATATTTATAAACATGGATAAGGTCCCCTCTCAGTCTTCTCCAGGCTGAATAGACCCAGCTCTCTCAGTCTTTCCTCATCAGAAGGATGCTCCAGCCCCTTAATCATCTTTGCAGCCTCCACTGGACTCTTCCCAGAAGTTCCCTATCTCTCTTGAAGTAGGGACCCCAGAACTGGACACAATACTCCAGATGCGGCCTCACCTGGGCAGAGTAGAGGGGGAAGAGAACCTCCCTCAGCCTATACAGGGCTAGAGAAGAGGCGATTGATATCCTGTTTTTCTCTTGGGTTTTCCTATTTGAGAGTGGGCACAGTTGTTGCAAAGGCATTGGCTGAAAAATAATCTGGGAGGAGGGGAACAAACTGTAGGGATGGAGAGAAGGGAAGTGGATGCAAACAGAGGTGTGGAGAGGGAGGGATGAAGTTGAGAGATGTGAAGAGGTTACAGTAAGATCCAAAACCCCTGGCAGGTAGCCTTACCATGCAGGAATGTCTTCTAGATTGCAGAATACTGTAACTTTTAATAAAAAAGGTGTAAATTCTTGCTCACTTCTCTTTCAAGTTCAGAACAGTTTCTCCTCGGCCTTTACCTTTTCCTTCTGATGTGAATGCAAAGACAACAGAGAGTTGTGCAGAGCAGTGTGGTGCTGACGTCTCTGGGTCTGTAAATAGTGCCAATACCAGTCAAGCTGATGTTTCAAAGGTTAGTGCTGAATACTGTGTCAGCTTATTTTTGTCTCTCATTCCTTCTGAGCAGTTTGTTCTTCGAGAGTGTGCACAGTGGGTAAAGAAATGTATAGTAGCTTCCTACCTAATGGAAGTCCTGTGAAGCACGTGGTCAGTGCAGGATGAGAAGCTGCCTTGCTGAACCACGGAGGTCAGAAGCTCCTTTTCTAGAGTTCATATTAGTCTCATTGAGCAAGGCTGTTTTGTAATAAATAATTAGCCATTTCTTAGAAGATCAGAAGGTCTGCTCTAGGAGCTCTGTCTTCCACGTCAGTTGCAAAGGATTTTTTGCTTTATAGGTGATTAAATAACAAAAGCCATTATGATGATTGCTAATTAATATCAAATTAACTTCTTTAGAAGGAGCGGCCCCTGTCAGCAAGAGAACGAAGGAGGCTGAAACAGTCTCGGGAGATGTTTCCCTCTGGTAATTTCTATGTTTGCATGTTAACATTTTATGTATAAATAGGCTAATAACTTATTTGTGAAGAAATTATAACTTGTTTGTTCTTCACTACCATCTTCAGAAAGATGCACTAAGGGTCTAGTTCTGTGTTAAATAAAAACTTCTGTTAATGTGTCTGCATTTTTCTGCTTTTTAGCTCTGTTCAATTGTGTTTAATGGTGACAACTTTGTCTTTGAAATGTATGTGAAGTGCAGAATATACACCTTTCAGATAGAAACTTCAGTGTTTTCTCTTAGCAGAATACCTACCTGTCAGGTGATAGACTTTTTCTTGTATGAGCATGAAAGTAATTCAAAATACATGCAGCTAAGTTGTAAATACTGTGAAAATGTCATCCTTCCAGTGACTCCGGCAAGACAAACGTCAAGTAGTGCAGTAGTTGAAGCAAAATCACGTATGGAAAATCATGTTAAAGTTGCTCAGTCTTCGTCAGATCCCAGTATTTCTCAGGTAAACTGAGGTCATCTGCTTTTGAAATACTTAAATGCAGGCACAGTTTGTGAAGAAAGGGGTATTTTTAAAATAATCTATGCGTGGAAGAAAATATCTTCCACAGTAAGTCAGTAAGAGTGCACAGTTCTGTGTAAATATTGCTTTTTAAGTCCTGGGGTAGTGTACAGATCTCTAATCCACTTTTTTTGTTTGACTAGATGAATTTAACATCCCAGGCATACTGTGCCTTTTCACTCCACTTGTCAGAGATGAACACTGGGGATATATTACTGATTGTTATGGGCTGTCTAAATTGCAGTGTTTATTTTCTTTTGGAAGGGAAAAAATTTATCCTGAACTATGCTTTAGTTACAGATCAATAGTCTGCTCTAAATTTCTATTAACACACTACCTTTAGCCTGGCACATCTAATTGTGCTTTGATAGGCGTATTTGAACGTTTTTCTTTTATTTTTTTTTAATCTGGTGTCATGTTGAGTGCCTATATTTATGTGCTGGCAATAAGGCATAGTTGCTAGATGAAAAATGAATAGTTTCTGTTAACATTCTCTTCCTTGTCTAATTAGAAGCCTTTTCTAAGGTCTTAAACATAGATTTGATAATCTTCTGCAGCATCAGAGGAACATTATTCATACCAATAAATGCGGAAGAGTAACAGTGATGAAATTTTAGTCTGAAATTTGAAGTGTAGGCGAAGTTTTCCTCAGCCCAGCACTTGCATGAGAAATGTTTTGCATGTTTTACCTACGTGTGTATGCTTATAACTGGTATCTAAATGCAAAAAAACTTCATCTGCATTCACAAACTGAGATAACATAAGGTTTGTACACAGTAGTTGCATGTGCTGGTGATGTTTTTGCATATTATGCTGTGTAGTGAACACAAGACTGTAGAGACACAAGTGCTTAAAATCTCTGTATATTTTAGGGAATGATGGGAATTTACTGAACTGATTAAAAATTTTTTTAAATGTTCTTATAAAATGTGTATTGAAGACCAATAGATGAGCTAAGGATAATGACTTTGATACAGCTGGCAAAGAACTGACACAGATACATGATTTAGTTGTTTTAGTAGAGGCTCTTGGTGGAGCATTTATAGCAGTTATAACTGCATGACTGAGATGTAATGCTAATCACATAAGCATTTCATAAAGTATGTTGATGATGTCCTGTGTATTAACTTGTTTTTAAAACCAAAGGTTACACCTTTTAAAAATTAATCAAGCTGAGTCTGTAAAAATATGCTTATTAAAAGTTTCTTCCATGTAAGAACAGTAATTCATGCCATATTGCTAAATTACTTTCAGCTATTAGAATTTTTGTCATTTATTCCCCCTTCATTTAGAGAAAGAGAGAAACCCATTGCCTGTCTGATGATGAGTTAAGCTCTTCCACAAGCTCTACAGATAAGTCTGATGGCGATTCCAAGGAGAGGTAAGTATTTTGGCTAATACTGTGCAAGAGTTTTTGCTGCTATATTGGACCTTGACTTGGAGTGGGGAAAAAAAAATGGCAGGAATTGCTTTCACACTTTATCTCTACATAGTGAGTGATTGAAGAAGTATGTGATGCATAAAGAAAATGAACTCCACTTAACTGTTGTCTCTCTGTGACTATAAACTTTGCACGCTGAACTGTCTGGGACGTGATTCTGTACTGCTGGTTTTTGTCAACTGTAGCTTCCCAGGAAACTAGTCTTCCAGCGTCAAAGGACACATACTGTCAGGGTACATTAAAAACATGAGTTAAAAGGTGTCAATATTCCACTGTGAATGAGACTGAATTTATTTCTGATTTTGTCAGTGTAAGCAACTTCCCCCAAAATATTATTTGTTGCGTTACCACAGGTGCAGCTCCACAGGTAGCAGTAGCTGCTAGGACTGTGAATTGCTGCTAGGTGAATGGGCTCTGACCCTTTGTTAGATGGAATACTGCTAATGTTGCTATTGGTAAAACTGCACCACAAGAAGCAGTTTAACATGGAATACTTGGCAGGACCTCAGTAAAATAATTGAAAGTCCTCTGAATGCAAGGTGGAAGTTGCATTGTGAATGGTGACTAAATTACATCTTATTTCTCTCTACTAGAAAAAGCAGTATGAATGAAATGAATGACTTGGTGCAGCTAATGACACAGACACTGAAAATGGACTCTAAGGAGAACTCTGAATACTGTGTAACCTCAACTCCAGTCCCAGAGTTTAAACTTCGTAGAAAATATCGAGACACTTTGATTTTGCATGGCAAATCACCTGATGAAGCAGAGGAATTAAAATTTGAAGAGATTTCTTCAGGTCTGTTGCTCTGTTACTGCTTTAAATGAATGGTTGCCATCTGCTAATAACCAAAAACCAGCTATGGGCAACAGAAGACAATCCACTCTTATTTCTTCTCAAGTCTCAACAATGTTTACAGAAGTAAACTTCTTTCTAAACAATTTTGTGTGCAAAGCTGCTCTAATTGTGGTTGCTTGCCAGTGAAAGGAATGTGTGATCGATCTGTGTAATTATTAATCAAGAGAGAAAGGTGGTTTGCAAGGTGATATTTTTCCCGTGTGTGACTTGTACGTAGAAGCTTACAAAATGAACGGTTGGAGTTGAGTGTTTTGAAATAAGATTTTTAAGACATTCAAATGATTTGAGAGCTGCAGAGCTTTATGAATTATGAATAAAGCTGAAATTGTACACAAAGCATTAAACACGGTGGAGGTTTGTACGAGTATAGAATTTTATCCTCACTGCAGAATTTGGGCACGTTTATTTTTCCTGCAGATACATGTGCAAGAATTGAAACATTTTTCATATTTAAGGTCTGTTTTAGACCTTGGGTTTGTATATGTATTCCAGAAAGCAAGAAGAAAATGTATTTGCTATGAGTGCACTTACTATGTGACAAGAACAAATGAAAAAGCTGAGGGTGGGTTTTTGGTCTCAGCCCTTCTTGTGCTTACTGTTTTAAATGATAAGGATTGTACTTGTAGCTAGTGTGGTGGTAGGCAGAGCAATGGGAGAACACTGGATTTTAGTCTGGTAAGTTGATTCTGTGTAGCTAAAGTAAAACACATTGCGTTTGTCTCTAAACAGGTGTGAAAGAATGTTGAAGGTATAAATTTCAGTGGTATATTTTTCTGTTTGTTTTTCTCCCTCTTAAGTATTGTATAGTGAGATCCTCCAGCTGTTTACTTGCTGCCATTGGGATGACAGGGCTGCTGCGTTTCTAAGCTGAAACTTATTTTAATTAGATCAGATATTTTATTTTCAGAAGGTGATCCAACCTTTGAAAGGAGTGTTGGTGAGTTCAGTGATTAAAAGAGCAAGCTAGTATTCTCGGTTCAGTTCAGTGGAGGCCTCACTTTCTATAATGACTGCCTCTTGTTGGCAGCTTCAGCTGAGGAGCAAAAGATCTAAAGGCTTTTGAGACAAACAGGCAGATGGCAGAAATGATGCCATTAGTGTTTTACAGTGATTAAACTTTGTTTACGTTTGCTGTAAGTACAAGTAATTGTATTATTACAATATTTGGGTGGTGGTGTAGTATTACAGTGCTTTTCATTCAAATAGTATTTGTAATACACAGGAGCCACCTGAAATGAAGTTACAGGGACCTAATTGTGCAAACTGTGTCTGCATTGACTTTGTGCTGCCCAGTGTCTGAAAAGCCACCATCGGAGTGCTCCTGATTCACCGTGTTTGTGGATCGCTCTAGCCAGTTCAGATAAACAGTTATTTCATGGAAATAGTCAGCTGGAACCTGTGCTACTGCTTACAGTGTTGTCCATATTATTCTTCTGCAGAGAGTATGAAAATTGACTAAGTAATTATTAATGCATTGATTATTTTTTTTTTAATAGATGTGTTAGCAGTTCCTGACAAGATCAGGAGAATGGTTGAAATCCTGAGATCTGACGTGGTGCAAGGATTGGGAGTGAAGCTTCTTGAGAAAGTATACAACATCATGGAAGAAGATGATGAAGTGAAAAGAGAGGTGAATGTCTTTCATATTAAAATTGTTTAATTTCTTTATAAACCTAGATAAATGAGCAGGGTCTTTACTTCCCTCTCTCCTTTTTTAGATATTGACATAGTAGTGCAGATTTTTATTCCAAAGAGTGTTTATGTAGTCATTGTTGGGGAAGGGCCTAAGTATATTGTCACTGTCAATCTTAAAAGTTTAATTCTGAATGGGAAGTATATCCAACTACAAATTCTTCAGAAAGCATAGGAGCTTTAGAATTGTACCATGGTCCCTGAGTTTGTAGGAAATGGGATGCAAATCATTTTACTCTGTGGTATTTCTCCAATAATTTCTTTTGAACCCTTTGTCTTCACATTACTTTGCCTAATGTCCCTTATGTCCAAAGCAGAAACAGTTTAATGTCTATTCCTAATTGGATTCAAACCAAAATACTGCATGGGTAAGTACAACCTGTACTTATATTTTATAATTATATTATAATGTACTTATATGATAATGTACTTATATTTTAAATTGTTGGGTGCGATTTGAAACTCTCCTGCCTTCAGATACCAGACTGTTTAACTTTTTTCTTCCCATCTATGTTGTCAGCTTTCACAGGCAGCTTTCAGCTGACTGCTTTGGTATTTTTTTGTTAATATTTTGGTAGTTCCTGCTTTTTTCAATGTCAAATTTTATGGGGTTTTTGTGTGTTCTAAATAGCTGCAGTTGCGGGAGCATATGGGAGACAAGTATGCAAGTTACAGTACGAAGGCACGCCATCTGAAATTTCTTGAAGAAAACATGAAGTTCTGACCAGAACAGTTTCCTTAGAGGAAAGGACTGTTTTATAGCTCATTTGGTAAGATTGGACCAGCTTACAAAGCACGTTTACCCGTTGACCTCCTTTGCTGGAATAAGGAGGTGAACTTGCAAAAAACTTTATTGTTTGTAGTAGTATTTTTCCTGTTAAAATGTGAACCAGGCTTTCACTTTCTCAGAAGAGAAACTGTTTAGTTTAGTTTTTATTCTCTTAATGAAACTTTTTAAAGTTGTTTTTTGTAGATGCAGAGAGGGATGGATATCAAGTGTTGTATACAAAGAAGTGTAAAAAAAAAATAATTATGTTTTGATTTGAATTTGTCATAGCAAAAGGTTTTTGGTATTGTCATGTGCTAAATAAGGTAACAAAATGTATGCCAAGGCTATGGTTGGATAGGTTAGAAGCTATTGCATCAAACACTTGTGATAATTTAGCAGGCAGAAAAAATTACTAATTTGTGTAGCACCACAAGCCCTCCAGGTTCTGTAAATGGACAAGTTAAAGTACTAAAGGGCGTGGTTGTACTGCTTCTGAGCAGAGCCTTTGCTTTTGTGTCTTATTGCTGAGGCAGTCACTGAGGTGGTGGAAAGGATTTGGTAACTGGATAAAGTAAGTCTGAAAGTGTTTGAAAGGACCACAGCCATGGTTACCATGGTTCCAGCTGGAGAAATCCCTTTGCCTTACACATACTAATTCCTTTTAGGAATGAAAGTGCCCAAGGCCAGGGTCATGTAGAGAAACAGGTTTCTTAGCTTTTCCCTTTCTTTGCATCTAGATTTTGTTGCTCACATGCGCAGGCGTTGTCATGTACCATCACTACAGCAAAAGCATCTGTTCTTTTTAAAGGATAAAGAAATCAAAAGGGAATTGAATTTGTAAAATAAAATTTTAAATGCACAACCTGTCTCTTTCCTTGCCTCTAGCTTAAATATTGTAGCCTCCTGCACTTATGAGGGAGATCAACATGACAGTCAGTAGTAAAAAGGGGCGACACCTGTGGATTCTGCTGCCTCTCGCATATTAGATGCTCAAGTTAAGAGGTTTTAAGAGCTGTTGTATTATTTAGAGTCAAGATTGTACTTTCTCTACCCAGGCAAATACATTTTGAACAAAAAAAAGCCACTCTGCAATCTCCTATCCTAGAACACTTTCCAGTTCTTAGCATTTTTCAGAACTCTGGAGTATGTACTGTTTCACAGTGCTTCTCACAACCTGGCACTACTGCTACCGCTTGTTTTACACACAGTTACAAATATTGTAGTGAAGTCCAGCTGTATATTCTCTTTTAGGCTACGGCAACTGCTTAACTAGACTTGATTTTCTGTGGTTTGCTGTGAGTGATGTGTGCCCTCCAGTAGCCTTCTAAAGTTAATCCCCCCCCACCTGCCTTCCCAGTGACTTCACTGGAACTCCAGCCAAAATTGAGAGCCTTCGTGCCCTTTGCAGATCTTGGTGTACTCAGGGTAGTAGACAAAGTAGTAAGAAAAAACCCAAACACTAAGCCAAGAAGCATCTCCCAGTGGAAGTGCATTTAAAAAAAACTTTATCAAAGCAACAGCATGAAGAAACACTTTTTTTTTTTTAGCTTTTAGCATGTCTCTTTGGCTTTCTGTCTGCTGGCTTCTTGTCTTCTGTTCCGGACTCTTGGACAGGTAGCCACTTCAGAGGATTGCGGCGATACATAGGCCATGGTGGAAGCGTGAGCTTCAAAGAAAAGGAAGGAAGTCAGAACATGTAGATCAAGATGGCAGGTAAGTGGTTTTTGTCCAGCTTGTTAGGAAAATCTCATTCCCTAACTATTGTAACAAGTAGTCTCAAGAAAGTTCATACAGTTTCATCCTATAACAATATATATAGTCTAATTCCAAAGCAGTACTAAATCCCAGTGTGCTCCAAAACCTTACTAGCATTTGAGAAAATGCACTTACTGGCTTCTAAAGCACTTTGTACAGATCAAAGAAAGCACAAATCAGAGTCAAAGAATCATAGAATGGTATGAAGGGACCCACAAGGATGATGGAGCCCAACTCCTGTCCCTGCACAGGACAATCCCAACATTCACACC